TATATATATATATATATATATATATATATATATATATATATATATATTACTAAAATAAATTTTTAAATGATTAATCAAGATAATTTTTTTTCACACTAAAACTAAATTATTAAAATACTTATTCAACTCTGTATACACAAAGTTTCTTTCCTTATACTCATAATCACGTATACATCCATTAATTATAAACATATCTTTAACTTGACTTAGTCTCATATACAAATAAATATATTTTTGTCGATTATGAGTAATTCCTTTGACTTAACTAAATCTCAACAAATATATCTTAATATTAAAAACATAGCATCTCCATATATATTATTTGATGGTTCATCACAAATATATATCATATACAAATAGATATCTTATGATAGTTCTTACCTTGTAACAAAATATATTTTTATATATATGATAACATTCAACACATCTTATTTAATGTTCACAACATGTATTACGATATATTAAGTTATATACATATTATTTCCACATTACAACAAAAAATATATTTTTCTAATTTAACCTTTGTTTATTCTTTTAACCACAACTTTCTTTATAGATATCATTTTTTATTATATTTTTTTCATTTAATTTTTTATCTTCGAGACTTCAATTTGCATATATGAAACATTTAATTTGGAGTTTAGAGATATTTTTTATGATTTTTAAAAGTTTAAACATACATATTTTGAGAAATTTCGCTTAAGTGAAAATATACTCGAAACAAGTTTTATTTCATTAAGAGCTTTTTGTTTTAACGAAATATTTTGACTTAAGTAGAAATGCGTCCGAGGGAAACCTAACTTTTGTTACACATTTAAATTGAATAACAATATGTGGCTTGAACGAAATAGGCAGATAATAAATTTGTAAAAATATATCTAAACCTGTTTTTACTTTTATTTCTCAAACACTATCTTTTGAAACTTTATTATATAATTTCTTTCTAAAACATGTTATATCTAATTCAAATATAATTATCTTATCATAATATTTTATATACATATTTTTTACAATATTAATCGAATTCAACTCTCTTAAATACCGATAATATTAATAATAAAATTCACAATTAATTTTTTAAAATAAAATAATATGACCAAGTCACCATCATAATTTAAATTATTTATTATAAGTTGTTAAGAAATTTATTATTAATTTCATTTACCTCAATTTCACAACTTTTAATTCTAAAAACTTGAAAAACTCCTAAACTCCCAAGATGTTATATCATTTTGATAAAAAATTCCAATTAACAAATCAAACTTACCACAAATTTATAAACTAGATAATATTCATTTTTTTTCGTATAAAATCCTGATACAAACTCTGAAGTTTAAAATAAATACTCTAAAAATGAATAAAGAAAAATTAACTTTATTAAAAAATGTCATCAATTAAAAAATATTTTTTACTGTTCTAAAAATACTAAAGCGTAACTAATTTAGAGAAAAGTAAGGAAAAAATAAATCTAAAAATATTAAAGCGTACTTGAGTTTAGAGAAAAATGAGAAAAAAATATAAAAGTTAAAAATAAGACAAAGAAAAGAGATATAATGAGATTGCAATTTTACCATAATAAATTTTAAATAGTTACAAATTTTTATTTATGACTTTTTTTTTTAATTTATAAGATCAAAATTCAAATTTAAACTCTTATTAAGCCACTCCTAATTTGTACACTTATACCATTCTTAAATAATAGTACAACATTATAAAAAATAAATTGACACAAATAACCCAAATTAGTATTTTTTTTTAATAACTAAATGTAATTTTCATAGGTATATATGAGATAATCTCTAAATATATATTAAAATATAATACAGAATAGATAATTATAAATTTAAGAATAAAAGTAATATATATATATATATATATATATATATATATATATATATATATATATATATATATATATATATATATATAAGTTAGGTTTAAAATCCAGGATCAAGGTTTGTTTTTATATTTATTGTTTCATTCAATTTTCAGTTTTTTTTTATTTAAATTTTCAATTTCTGATTGGACTATATAAGGTTTATTGTTTATAAAATTAAACAAAACGAACAATCAATTTAACTGTTAAAAGAAATTAAAAACTAAATAAAAACCAAACAATATTAGTCGACAAAGTTATAATATAACAGATTGTGACGTAAATTTTTATTTTAGTCTAAACATAAACATTTATATAACTTATTTTTATCTTTACATTAAAAAAGTTATACATTTGGTGTGTATACTTCACATGTCGTTCTCTGCGTTTAGCTTTTTCCTATATCATAAATTTTCTGGCATAGTTTATAATGTTAATTAATGCAGTAGTTACTAAATAATTCATAAACAACTTTTTTATATATAAATAGATGGGTATATATTTAGATAAAAGCTTTTTAAAAATTGAAAAAAATAACCTTTTAAACTCAGTTTATCTATAAATTAGCTGGTAAAAATTTTCTTATATAACTTATTCAAATTATTATTTTCAATTTGGGTATAAGATAATTTTAGTTTATGGAAAATTAATATTTTTTATATTTTGAAAAATAATGTATACAGTTTATATTAATATAAAGTTGAGAAATATAAATAACGGTTGTCAAATACTAAGCTATTGGGCCCAACTGAAGAATAAGAATGAAATGGTTAGCTTTTGTCCAAAATGTATGTTGGGCCTATGGTATAAACCCCTGTCATCACTAAACAAAACCAAACCTAAGAACACAAAGTGAAGGGTTTGAATTTTGGTTTTTTGAAAAAGCTAATTGCTTTCTGCACCCCAAAATTTTTTCATGTACCCCAATACCTAAAATACCTAAAATATATTTTTTTATAATTTTGTTTTTTATCCTAACTTCTTATTTTATTTGTTTACAACTAATGCATCTCCATCTCTCAGCACCTTCATCTCTTGACTATTTGATTTTTTTGTGCTATCACTTCCATTAATTTTTTTTCTAACAATTAAATATAAGTAATTATCAATATTATATATGAATTACATGTTTATGGATTCAAATTGTACAAACAGACCCAAACTATTTAATATTGAATAGTATCGTAATAATAAGGTTAAATTTCATAACACCTAATCCGAAATGCATTTTTATATTGACTTTTTCGAAAATATATTCTGAAATACCAATTACAAAATACTGTTGTGGAGAGTGAGATGTATTATGGAAATCAATTCCAGAAAGATGGATCCGGAATGCAAACATATTCCAAAAAGTGTGTCCCACTCCATAATATATTTTTGCAATTGATTTTCCAAAAATGCATTCCGGAAAGCACTTTTTAGAACATATCTTTTGAACAAATTTTCTAGTTTTCTCACTCCATGCAACATTTCCAACTAAAATTTTTGTTTCATTAATAGTGTACATGTTTGGTACTAAATAAAAAAAAGTTGGACATTCTTACCTATTTATCGTAGTTTTTAGAAGAATAGGAGAAGAAATAATGAAAATATTGTAGTGATGCTTAAAAATCAACTATTGAACAAAATTTGAAATAAACAATGATGGAAGATGAAGATAAGTGTAAGGGTAAAACGAGATTTAATTTAATTATGAGGGTGCAGGAAGTAATAACCTTTGAAAAATTATAAGTTAATTAACTACTGGATTGTTAAAATAGGCGGCCTAGCCCAGCCTAACCTAACCCTTCTGGTCAAGTAAAAAAATATAATGATCTAACCTGACCTATAGTTTAAAACATGTCAAGATTTTTAACCTAGTTTGACCATATGTTAGGCTAACAGTTATCTTTGACTTATTCAAAAATAAAAAATCTTTTAGTTATTTATATATTTTTTAATTTTATTTAAAAAATAATATGTCTTTCATTTGTTTATTCAAAATTAATTCAACCTATTTAGACAAAATAAAATAATAACTTATTCACTTCTTTAATATACTAGATACAACTTGATCATAACCATATAACTAATTACAAGTACAAATGAGAGTTTTCACATTTTTAGAAGTAAATAATTTCTATATTTGTTTAAGATATAACCACTAATGTTAAATGGAGCTTATGAAATTACTATTGTAATTATAAGGTTTAAAATGTCACAAAAATAACAAAATATGAGTACTTATAGTAATGTATCATTCTTAGGAAATTAGAGTTCATCGTACATCAAAAGTAAAAAAATATTCTACTACAAATATTCTAACTTCTGGGAAATATACATTATAAACATATGTAATTTAGTGTTTCTAATAATTAGTTTAAAATTATTATTCAAAATTTTATTTACCTCCTAAACTCACTTGTTCTCAATATAAATAAATGGAAAATCATACTTAATAATGTATTTACAAATATATCTCGATAAACTTTAAAATCAAATTTCTATTGTTTCAACAAACTAATCCTATTATCCAACGTAATTCTTACATCATGATATTTTAAAATACACTATATTTAGTAATATGCTCTCTTAAATTGATTAGTCCCTCATAATAAATGTGATAAAAGAAAAAAACTAAAACAAAGGAGGTTTATATGTAAAATTTATTATTTTTTTTAAATTATATATATATATATATATATATATATATATAATATAAAATATATTATTAAATAATAAAATAATTTTTAATTTATTTTATTTTAAAAAATATTATTATTTTATAAAATAGATAAGCACATAAACATATTTACATCATAATCTATATAAGTTAGAATAAAATTAGACTGGTTCTACTTTAACAATTGATTAATCTCACCCAACTTATTTTTCATATCATTCCTATTTTTATCCCTTAAAAATTTATAAACCTAAGAATAATGTTATTTTTATATTTTAAAAATAAAATTAAAAATTTTCTCTATAACATTATAAATTACTAATTAATTATGTATCGGTTGGAAAAACAAATTTGTAATAAAAAAATGAATGAAAATTTAAATGAAACTAAAATTGTAATAAAAAATGAAAGAAATTTAAATGTAGAGTAGGAGATGACATGTAGAAGCAGTTCCAAGTGATGGAAGTGATGATCTGTGACCATTTCCGGTCTTCACCACTCTCCATCTTATCTTCTTCTTCTTCTTGCTTTTCTGCTTCACCACGTTACCATCTCTCTATGCTCTCTTATTTCCCTTCTTTGAGGCTTAAACCTTCTTCTTCATCTGTGTCTTGCTCTCTTATGGAGGAGACCCACAACCAAGGGCGCACCAAATTCATGGACTTTCCGTTCGTTTCATCCGCCCAGAAGAACCTCATGGTCGATCTTGTTTCAACGCTTGAGAATCGCTTTCACTCCCAGCTTCTTCCTTGCACACTACCCCTTGATGTTCAGTATTACCAAAGCCAAACTGCCACTGCCCAAGCTTCCCTTCATATCAGGTCAGCCAGTAATGAATCTCCGGTAATTCCCCTTCTCAAGGTCCTTAATTTCAATACAAAGTTTTCATTTTTTTTCTCGTCTTTTTTTACAGCCCCCAAGTTATTCATGTTCCCTTGCCAATTATTTTTCTCCCCAAATTCGTTTTGACTTATTTTTTAGGGGTTGATGTATTTCTAAATCAATTGGCATTTAGAAACAGACCAGAGTATTGGGTTGAGAATTAGGTACTCAATCTACTGCTATGTCCGGATTAGATATCGAAGCTAATAGGTAGTATTTTTATTCTCTTCTGTGCTTCAATGAACTAACCAACAAATTCATCCCTAAACTATTTCTGTCTCTTCATAGTACATAAACTATATAAATAATCCCTTAATAGTTAAAAATATATAGTGAGTAGTTATTAATTATTGAAAAGTCTCCAAGTTAGTCTTGACGGCTAGAAAAATATATTGACATGGAGACTAAATTGATGGATACTCAAATTTTTCTTTTATGCTGATGGATACTAATACTTTATAGACTATTTATATAATTTTATTATTTTAAGGATAGGATAGGAGAGAAGGTAATTAGTAATACTGGAGAGGCTTGATTGATGATAACCTTGAACTTACAATTTGAATAGCAGTGGAAAAGGGTAAACGTTGACGACGACTAGGTCAGCCTAGGATGAAGTTTTTGAATGGTTTGAAAGTATACCTAGTATGAAATCTGAATACTAAAAAAATCGGAAAAAGGTTAAGCCTACACCTAATTTTTGGGGTGTATAGCTGTAGGGAAGAAAAGGCGAAAAGAAAAAAGAAAATGAAGAGAGAAAGTGAGTGATCAATGATGCGATTGGAAATAAAAAGAGATATAAAGAAGAGGAGAGCTAGCAACATATTCTCCCCTAGTACATTCCTTCTAACATACTCTCTTTCTTGTTGGTTGAAATTTATTGAAAAATTACAGAACCAGGAGACAATTATTAAGTAAGGTGATTTTTAATAAATTTCAATCAATAATAAAGGCTAGTATTATTCAAGAAAGAATGTCTTTCCTCACTGTGAATCCTTGGTTGTTGTTTTTTGTTAGCCTTGTACTATCACTAAATTTTCTCTACCTTTCCAATGGATTTAGTTTGTGTAGAAAAAAAATGATGACACTTGTTTTGTTCTGAAGTTACTCTTTCTGTGTTTTCTCAGGTAGATTTTGTGTTGGGGAGCTGGGTGCACTCTGAGTTACCAACAGGAGGGTCCTTAGATATAACAAGTCTTTCAGCCTATCTTAACAGCTCAACTGATGCACCAAATTTTGTGTTTGAAATGATCCGCAGTAGTCCAACAATGCTAGTTCTCATTCTTGATTTGCCTCCCAGGAAAGACCTTGTGCTTTGGCCAGATGACCTCAAAACTTTCTACGAGGACACTCAATTGGACACTCATAGGCAGGCTCTGGAGAGAGTTCCAGAGGTTCAACCATATTTCTCTTCATCCCTTTACATCCGCACTGTTTCCTCCCCTACAGCCATAATGGTTCGCATTGGGACGGAAAATGGTGGAGTAGAACGCATGGAGGAGATCATCAGGGACCATTTGCACCCCATTTCGAAGCAAGTATTGGGGATCTGGTTGGATCGTTGTGCTTGTGCCAAGCGAGATGTTGGAGAGGCAGAAATAGCTTATCTGAAAAAAAGGGATGGTCTCATTAGGAATAAGACAATAGAGATTGATCTTGGTTCAAGCTTCCCCAGGTTGTTTGGTCCAGAAGTAGCAAACCGGGTACTGGAAGCTATTAAGGGGTATTTTACTGTCTAAGGTGTAAATTTATTTGGAAAATTGTTGGACATTATGTGTTACATACATGTAACTAATTTGATGTGTAGTCAAATGAGTATTCGTTGAATCTCAAGTTCAGTCTCAAATCCATAAATGATTATGATAGTTTCTAGCTTCTACTTTCTCCCTTGTTCTTGTCTGTGCTAGGGATGATTCATATAACAATGGCACTTATCTAAGCCTTCATTGAAATCATCCCATTTCGATCTTAAGCTCTTTGTAGGACCCGAGTTAGAAACTCCAATTTTAACTTCCTGAACTAGAAGTAAAATTACTGAACTGGAAGTATTTTAGCATGCTCGAGAGAGTTGAGAGAAGCTGATGACTCTGAAATCTGGACCTGATTGACATGAATTCTGTAAGAAATATTTTCAGACCAGATATTAATTAGATCATATTAAAAGGTAATATCATTCAATTTGACTCAAGTTCAAATCAAACCATTTTTATAATTTCATGATTACATATTAAACAAAACTCTAGCTCGAACCACAGCACCATAGTCCTGACTATATGAAATAGGAAGAAAGAGTAATCAATTTCTGATTCAACGATCCGCATCAAATACTTATTTTATGGTGGCGAATATAATAAATTCCTGATGAATATTCTTAACGCACTCATCAAATATATACGATTCCTCACAAAGTTAATCGTTATACCTACTCCACAATCTTTTTATAGTTAAACCCAAATCTCAAATTAATACTAAACTCTTCACGAAATATGATATTTGTTGCTGTGACATGTGTCCCGCTGACTCATATACATAAGTTAATACGTGTCAATATCTTGGACGTGGATCGAGGAGAGAACATTTGAAAATCCAGTCACAAACTTTAAAGACGTCATGGCAGCAATAGGTGTATGGAATAAAAAAAGAAAAACGGAGATAAAAATAAAAAAAGGAAAACGATTAACGAAGAAGAGACAAAATATAAAAGAAATAAAATAAAACGATTAAAAAAAAACTCCCAGCTAGAATATTTATGTTAATAATAATAATTCATGTTAATAAATATCAAAGATTGAGTGAGAAACCAAGAACAGATTCCGTTTGTTTTTTTCTTCTTTAGGATAAGAATATATTCTATTAGAGCTTTGATTTGAATAACTTAAAACATCCAAAGGACTCGGGGTTAACTTTTATTGGTTGAGAATGAAACTTTCGTTTATGATAAATAAGAGTCTTATATATTGATATATAATAGTTTTAAACCACTAACTTTGTGTGACGTAAATAACATTGTTTCTTGAACATATTATCACAGTTTGATCTGAGTTTAGTTTGAGTTTAAAACATGAGAAGAGATAATAAAATAATGGTAGAAAGATACATCTCAACGAATGTTGTAGTAAACATTTGACGTGACAAGGTTGCATAAAGATTATTGTGAATTCAATAGAATTGTTATTACACGCACTTTTTCTGTCTAATGTGTTAGTGTGTCTATTGGGTGCTTTGAAAAACCTTGATAGTATAATAAACATACATAAATATGTGTGTGGCTGTGTGAAACCTTGATGGTACATATTCTGATGTTGTTCTTTGGCAGCCACACTCTTTTTAAACGAGTGAACTGCAAAATTCTGAATTATCAAGGAATCTATACTTAACATGCAAGAACTTGTCATTTTGGTATCATCTATCATCTTTCTTACTTCTGCTCATTGTTTCTTTTATTTCTTAATTTTTCTTTCATTAGTTAGCAGCATCTCTATTCTTTTTGCCACCAAAAACTTCAAGCAAAAGTAAAAAGTTATCGTATCTTTGATGAAAATTATGCAGTAAGTGCGTTTTCATAAAAATAATCCACGTTTTGGAATTAACTTTTTCGAATTTTAAATGAAACTTCCTTATCACCGTATATGTACACTATGTGTACCTTAATTTAAGTTTTCATATTATTCCATTGCGCACACATATAATAAAGTTCACAAAATCCAAACAATAATTTATTTTCCTCTCCAATGGCTTCTTTATTTTCTTTATAATGATGACCACTCAATTCAGTTCAGAATTCACAGGGAAGTTGAACGAAGTCCAAAATAACTTACATGCTTTGTGAAGTGGACAAACCAAAAAGCCAGATTCTACACAAGGGGTACCCTACTTTTTCTTAAAGGGGGCTAAAAATATCGTTGTTTCAATTTCCAAAAACCAAGACACAGGTTTTCCTGAAAACTTCTCAGCCAGTTAGTTTCAGAGGTTCAAACCTGTGTAATCAGACGTAAACAGCAACATGTGTATTATGAATCAGGAAGCTATCAAGCAGTTGCAGTCCCTTATGGAAAACTGTAAGCTTTAACTTGCACTTTTCTGCTCTTCTAAGATCCCTAATGATTTTTTACTGTCAAATATCTTCTAATCTTTCTGTCATATTTATTTGTTTCTCTCTTGATGTAGTGGATGAGCAACAGAAGAACACATTCCAGGTTTGTTTGTTTTGGCTCCTGGTTTTACTTTTTGAGAAAGATAATGAAAAAAAAAAAACAGTAGAAGTTATAACTTGATGAATGTATCTGTTCATCTTGGATAAAATAAGTCACTGTAAATTAATACGCTAAATTCTGCCAATAATTCTTCACTAAAGTAATGCTCTGAACATTGTGATACTAGGTGGTGATGATCACGTGTGTTCTGTGTTTCCTTTTTTTCTTTCATGAAAACTTTCTCTTTTTTTATTTCAGAATATGCACCGGGGCTATCCAACAGAAACATTAGCACGGTTTCTCAAAGCAAGGGACGGGAATGTTGTCAAAGCACATAAAATGGTTAGACAGTGAGCAGTGAAAGATTTTTATTGGAATTTCTCCCAAGTTTCTTGCTTATAGAGTTATTTTCTCGGTTCTATATCTTTTGGATATAACACTTTGCTGACTGTTTAAACTATAACAGTTAATTGATTGTTTACAATGGAGAGTGGAAAATGAGATTGACAATATTTTAGCGGTAAGTTCCTTTACTGTCATGTTAGCAATGTAATATTATAATTGATTTTGGAACAACATACCTTAAATGCCTACTAAAGTTAAGCATTTAAGAATGCATGTCATTGCCTGAAACAGAAAAACCTTGTTATCACTACCACTCTAGAATGAAATTTACACGGTTTCTATAGTTATTTGAGATATTTTCTTTATCACATTCAAATCCCTACATCATATCACAGCTGTGGCATAAAATATAAGTATCATATTTCTCGATCATTGTGAATTCATAACCATAAATGTCTATCATTATTGATTTTTTCTGTTGTATTTGTAAACAGAAGCCTATACCATCTGATTTGTACAGACTTTTGCGAAATTCTCAACTTGTGGGAATGTCTGGTTTCACAAAGGAGGTATTTTTGCTTTAGATAGATCTCGTACAAGTTTTGATCTCAGGCCTAAATTTATTTGTTTTCTTCCTACCCTCATAGTTCTTCTCTTCCATTAACCAATATGAGTGATGTGTAAGAGATAACATTTTTACATACGACTGTATAGGCATTGGTCAATAGGATAACATATATCTAATATAAATTAACAAGCAAGATTGCAAATTTATTTCATTTTGGCTAAATTTTGGCAGGGCCTACCAGTCATTATTGTTGGTGTTGGGCTCAGCACATTTGATCAAGTGTTTGTAAGGACTTCATACCATTTCTAACCCATCCTATCAGTACCTTTACAATTATGTGATACATTAGTGCTGCAGTGTTCAATGCTGCATATCTGTCCATTTTCCTTAATGTAGCATGTGGAATATTTATTTTCTTTGGTGTCAAATTGCCACTAGTGTTTTTTTTTTTCTTTTGTTTAGGACAAATACTATGTACAGTCGCACATCCAAATGAATGAATATAGGGATCGAGTGATCATGGTGAGTACCTAGACTAGAGTTTCTTTTGGTTCCTCATAAATTCTGACGTCCTAATTGCTTATTTGGAATATTTATTGCAGCCAACAGCTACAAAGAATCATGGACGATACATTGATACTTGTGTGAAAGTCATGGATATGACTGGTTTAAAACTCTCAGCGCTGAACCAATTGAAGGTACACAGCAATTTAGCAACTTATTTACTATCTCACAGAAGTTTCTGTTCTCACTCAGTCCATACCACTAAATGCTTTCCTAGTTGACACTTTCTTGGCCACCTTCAGCTTTTGACTGCTATAACTACAATAGATGACTTGAACTATCCAGAAAAGACTGACGCATATTACATAGTTAATGTTCCATATGTATTTTCAGCTTGTTGGAAGGTTTGTGCTAGCGTTTCATGTCGAAGGAGTTTGTACTTTTCACTTTAAGTTCATTCGGATCTTTGAAAATTCTGACATCTAGAGCTGAGCTCTTCTTGCTTCTTTGACAATTGGCAGGTTGTAAAGCCTCTTTTGCAAGAAAGAACAAGGAAGAAAGTCCACGTACTGAAAGGTTGTGGCATGGAGGAATTACTGAAGGTATACAATAGCATTACCCATAACTATTTGGTTGACCCTTCATATATACACCTTTTATGAGTTTTCCTCTTCGTTCTATTGACAAATAAAGTTATATTCAGCAATTATAAGTGAAGCACTTGAATTTTGCTTGACACCTAAATCTAACTCAAATATTACAAACCGCAGCATTTTATTGTAGTGTCACAGTTGGTGATGTCAGCATCGTCATGCACATGAATTTTGTTTGCCAAAATCCAATTTACTGTGAAATTGTCTGTGCATAACAAAGATGTTTAAGTTTTAATTTTGTCTAGTTTTTAAGTCCTAAGACATAAATATTGTGGATTTTTCTTTATGAATGGATAGGTAAGTTTAGAATAATTCCTCAGATCTTCTTGGTTTACTACATGACGGAGCTTCCGTATTTGTTTATCTTAAATTTATGCTTGTTAATAATTAACCCATGAATTTTTTCCTTTATTACTAGATTTGTTGTAACTGTGAGGGGTTTAACATACTAAACCATGTTTTCAAAACTTGTGAACAGGTAATGGACTATGCATCCCTCCCACATTTTTGCAGAAAGGAGGATTCCAGGGTGCCCCGGCAACATACAGCTGGAAATACTGAAAATTGTTTCTCTTTTGATCATGTCTTCCATAAAGAACTCTATAATTACATCAAGCAGAAAGCTATACTCATAGAGTCCATATCACAGGATTCTTTCCATGTAGATTTACCGGAGCCAGACCCAGATGATGCCAAAATTGCCAAGACTATAGAAACTGAGTTCCACAAACTGGAGAGTCAGAATGGCCTTACCAACTGATGAAATAGCCTTACAGTTCATGTCTGCATCGTGGTCAATTGTTGAATGCTACATGGTCCATTTTAATTAAGAGGGCTATATTCTTGTTCTTTCCAGTGGCTATATATTAAACTATTGTGTGTAATATCAAGTGTTTATATTGCCGGAGACTTTTGAAGGAAGAACTTCTAATCTAATATTTATAACTGGGATGATCAACATGTTTGATCAGTATTGGAAGGACGGGCCAACCGTTAGAGAAAATGTTTTTCCTCAAGTGTCATAGCATTATCCTGCATCAAAACCATTTCTTTAAAGTTTAATCATAAATTATCCTGCATCAAAACCATTTCTTTAAAATTTAATCATTAATTAATCATTTATTTTGACTCTACAGTTACAAAAAATATTTATTATAATTTGTATATTTAATAACAACCCTATTTAATTCTTATACATGACATTTTTAGTTGATATAAATTTCAATAGTATAAGGGATATTAGGGATAAAATCTTGTAGAAAATTTAAAAATTTAGTGATAAGGTGGAAGGAAAAAATCACTCTTTTCAAAGGAGACAACTCACAAAGGATGTAAAAATCCTTTAATACAACTTAGTATTCTAGAATCACTCTCTAAAAAAACTAAACTCTAATATTTTTAAATAAAATTCAACTTGTTATATTTGATAAAAATATTATTCAACCTATATAGAAACTTTGCCATTAAAATTACAAAGATTTAATAAAGAAAAATAAATGCTAATAATGATTTATTAATCTAGAAATTGAAAATTACTTAATAGAGACAAATAAAGACTAATAATGATCCATTAACCTAAGAATTAATACTACTTAATGACTGATTGTAATTGAAATTATGATAATCAAAAGTCAATCAGCCTATACACCCTCTTGGTCTCCCAAAGACTGATGATTAAGTTTCCAATTGGACCCTTATTACAACTTGCAATAAAACCAAACTAAAATCCATTAATTGATTAATCTAAAACACAATTTTTCTTTGCTTCCCTTGCTCTAACATTTGTCATAGGTCATGTTCACATCATTAGTTCTTATATATATTAATTTCTTTCAATTCTTACATATAACTAATGTAAATAATCAAGGATTAAAAATATATGTTTTTAAGTACAAATCAAATGGGTATGAAAGAAAACTAAAAGACTTTTTTTAGAAACTATAAAAATCAGATCAGTAATTAAGAACTTTTTATATCAAGCATAGGTCATAAAGCCATGCAGCTATAAACTACAACTTATTATGCATGATCCCCCATCTTCTTAACACAACTTGGGGCTAGCATTAACTTGCACAAGGGGGTGTTTTCCTTTCATTTTGTAAATTTATTTATCCATTCAGGGGCTAGATGATTCCATTTTCTGCTCCCAACAAGGTCAAGAGGCTCTTTGAAGATGTAGCATTCTTTTATACGAAGTGTTTATTGTCACCTATGCAGCACACAACTCTAGGATTAACTAGCAAGTTCAAGGAACACCGAAACTTTACATTTAATTGAAAAAGGTCACAAATCAAATTCTACCTAAACAAACTGTTTAAATATTTAATTTGCATAATCTGAGGCTAAGATTTCTTATATGTACAAAATAAGTAACTAGCAATTTAGAGTGACCAAGCCAAGAATACAATGCAAACACCCAAGCACACACATCCAGATTAAACATTGAGCTCCCACTCGTTTCCCTACATATTTGGTAACTGTGAAAAAACTATATCCAGATATAGCAAAATTTAAGTTATCTGAATCACTTGATAACGCTACCAAAGTTGAATCCTCTTATCTCAATTGTTTGTAGCAGTTGTAGGCAATGGCAACTGACACAGCAGCGCATACAACAGCAAGAGCTGCATAAGTATCTTCTTGCTCCCAGCCATCAAGCCAGGTTGTCATGGTAGGAAACTTGAGCGAAGCTCCTTTGGCACTATTGATCCTATTGATCCGAGAAAGCACAGACTCATTGTTTTTATTATCAGCTGAGAGCTTTGCTTCTGTCTCAATGACATCTGGGTCCATTCTCTTTTCTGAAAACATGTGATTCTGTCGGAAAGAAGAGTCTCCATTTGATTGGCAGCAGCTAGCATTTGATTGGCAGCAGCTCACAAAATTACCTTGAGATCTACACACTTCTGTGCTTTCTTCTAAATTTCTTAAGCCATTCAGCAAGAGCCTTTGTTCTTGCTGTTTCATCTGTTCTTCTACTGATAAACCCATCTGGCCCCTGATGACAATATAAAAAAAATGTAACAAATACAAGTCAGCACAGGCATCATGGACCTCTGCTCCAAAATTTTCATAACCACCTGATACATATATTATCTTTAACCATATAAAGAATTTCGGCAGGGTTTCTAAAAAGGAAATCTACCACCTGATTCATCAAATTTTTTCCATCACAAAGAAGGGGGCATAAAGAGATGTAATTGAAAAGCTATGGGTGAAGCCATGGTTTCTGAAAGTTTGGAGATGAGGTGAGAAGGAAATAAAATTACTATATGAGTGATCCATCATATGTACTTCATCTTGTAGCTGCTTAAGTTTGATGGCCTTGGAATTGAAAACATGCTCTATGATTTTAATTTGTAAATAAACAACAGATGGCAAGTCACAGGTGCCATTTAAAGGTGCATGGAGCAAATCTTCATACCATCAGACACAGGGCATGAAGATGCCACTTGTTTGTCTGACCATAATTTCAATTTCAAAGTACATAAACCATGAAGGTATTATTACTCAGAGTTTAAAATGCGATTAAATCATTGATGGTAAACAGGGTTTATAATGTCAGGAACAAAAAGATCATTATTGAAAAACAAAGGCCTACCTTATTTGAAGTAAAATTTTGGAAGAAGAATTTAGAAATCCCGATTGCTGAAGGTGTGAAAAGATCTTATAGATATTTTGACTTGCAAATGATAAAAAGCTCCAGAATATTATTTTTAACATTTATTGACCCACCCTCACAAATTAATGTCAATTTAACTTCTAAACCCTACAGACTCAGCTCAGGCACTGCCCCCTAACTCTTTTTGGTAGTGCGGAAATAAAGGGAGGAGAGGAGGGAGAGAAGAAACAGATTAGAGATGAGAATCATCCACTCTATTTTTCATCTATTTCCATTCACTCTATTTCTCTCTACCTATTTCTCACTTACATTTTCCTTCCTGCCAAACACACCCAAAAGACCAAAATCCAGTATGGGTGAAAACAATAAAAAGATATTCTAGCTATTTAGTCTTTCATAACATGAAATTTAACTTTTAGAGAGAATAGTAAAGAAAATATATAGACCAATAAGGAAATAGTTACCTCCATAATGAATCTAAAACATCTCCTTTTATGATATGATGTTGAAGCAATAAAGGCACATCATCCGGGGTAACATATCCATACCTACATATTTCAATCGAGGAGACTATTAAGCAGCTAAAATATCAAATAAAACAACCAATAGTGAAAAGGTATTACAAGAAATTGTCACAAAAAGTAGTTTTAATAACCATGGAAGTGTTCTCCTCACCAGTGACCAGTAACTTCTCCATTTTTGCAAGGTTTAAATACAATGACGTTTCCAGCATACTGACTTCCCCCAATGTGAGAACACGGGCTTACAAACACTTTACCATGAAGACCATGCAACTCTATCTCCTCCCTGAATCTACTGACCAAGACAGGTCCGCAAACCCCACATCTGCGATCACGGGATCCATGTGAACACACAAAAACAAACGAACCTCTCAATGCCTCAGGGGTTCCAGGAAGCCATTCCCCATCCTTCACAAGAACTTCTTCAACAAACGTTTCAACATCAAAATGCGTTAACCTCCTGCAATTCCACTAAAACCCGTTGTCCAAATTGATCTAAGAAAGGGAAAAGCAATATAAAAAAAAGGCATAACTTTGAAGATCAATAATACTAACCTGTATCTAACCATGTCAGGAAAGATCAACACATCCCCATTGGATGTCTCAGTTCCATCATGACCCTCGCAAATCGTTAACCGAGTCTAGTAAAGAGACAATTCATAAGTCGAACACAATGTAATTAGCACTTAACACATGCAAAGTAAAAAACTGGACGTAACAATTGTTAAAGATCACACATTAATTAGTGATACCTTGGACATCATAGAGACAAAATTTAAAAGGGGAGAGAGAAGACAGAACCTCCTTTTTCATGTGAGACTTCCTTGCCACAACGGCGGCGTGGAGCAACCTTGGCAAGCGATCAAACTCGGCGGCTTCTATACGCGGTGGCCAAACGCGAGGATTCTTGTAGCAGAGAAAGACATGGCGTTGGTAGAGCTCGACGGTGCCAGCGAGGGGGCTCTGGCGGAAATCGGGTCGGGAGAATCCGAAATCGGGATCAGCAGCGGCGGCATCGCCTGCGGAGAGAAGGCCGTCGTTCTGGAAGCTTCCAGAGGCGCTCCTGGGGTCGGCGAGGTAGCTGTCGAGTTGGTCGGAGACGGTGATGGGGGAAGAATGGGAAGAGGAAGAAGGGATTGTGAATGTCAGAGACTCTTCTCTCTCTCTGTTACTCGCCATGGGTACCACCACAACACAACAATCCCTTTCTCTAACACCGTTGTCTGTGTGTGTGTGTGTGTGTGTCCGAGAGAGGGAGTATCTGTGCTGTGTTTTGCTAGTTTCGAGGTTTGATGATGTTGGACGAGGCTGCGTTCCTGTGGGGTCGTAAGTAGGATTTGTCGGTGGAATCTGCTTATCCTTTGTTCAGGGGTTCTTTATTTTCTTGATTGGTCCAATCTAATGCCCCAATTTTCCGCATTTTGTAGAATACCGAAATCCTAAGATTAGTATTAAAGTGATATAATATTTTATTTTCTTATTTCCATAATAATACCTTTTGAATTAATAATAAAATACTTTTAATTTAATCAATAATAGTACTTTTATTGAATCATATTTCAACATAGTAATTAATTATTATCAATCAGTATATCTATCAACATTTTAAATTATTAATACTAGTTTTATTAAATAAATAATAACACTTATTAATAACAATCAATTTTAAGTTTTATATAAATTAAAAAAAAATTAAATAATTTTTTAAAGATTTTCTTTTCAAAGTATTAAAAAAAAAGAAATATCAGAAATCGATTTTCACAAAGTCCAGCAATAGAAAAAATGAACCTTAAGAATTTGACTTCTTATACGAATTCTACCCTAAAAAAGCATTTGAATAAATATTTAGTAAATAAGTTTTTTTGTTAATTTTTTTAATTGAGGAATTCTGGAAAAAAATCATAAAACTTATTTTATTTATTTTTTTCATTAAATATTACAAATATGTTTTAATAAATAATGAGAAAATAATTTTTAAAATCATTAGTAATAAAGATAATTTAATATATTGGTAATATTATTTTGAAAAATTATTAAAAACAAAACAAAACAAAAAGGTTATTTTTATTAATTGATATGATAATGTCTCTATGATATTAATCATAAATCTGTACTACTTATGAAAATATAATAAATAATAAAGTTAGTAAAAGATACATCTGGAGTATTTTTGGAAAATTTGATATCTCTATTTCTAAGATTCCTTTTATAGTCAAATTATGAATTAAGTATTTTTTTTAGAATATTCTTAATTAATTGAGATTTTTTTGAAAAATTAAAAAATATTTAAAAAAATGATATAGTTTGTGTTTCTTCCAATTTAATTTAAGAATATAAATACTGACATGTCGAATTCTAGCTCTGATAATAATAATTTTAAAACAACAACACAATTTATTGATTATTTTTGTTTTTAATTAGTTTTTTTTAAAGAGTATTAAATAGGAATGGAAGTATTAAATTAATTATCTTAAATATTTATTTTGTTACTGTATCTCTCTTTTAATGGATACGATTTCTCAGTTTTACAGGGACGTCGATGCCATTTGGAGTATTGATTATTCGAGTTTTATTGACAATTGTATTAGATATATACTTTTCTTATTTTATTCTAAAAATTTTAAAAATGAAAAAAAAAATTATGCTTGACGAAACAACATATTTTCAGTATACAAATTCAAACAAGACTTTATTTTAAGATTTTACAATTTATTAAGATTTTATTTAATTTTTTTAGAGATATATTTCAAACTTAAATAAAATTTTTAAATCTTTCAATAAACTCTACAATTTAATATTTATTTAAAATTTAATTATTATTTTAATTTTGATTTAATAATAATAGTGACAATAATAATAATAAAACTTAAAAATTTTAAAATATAGAAAAAACTGAGAGCATAAACCATGTAAAAGTTTGAGGAAGTAATAACAAGAATTTGATCATCACATGACACCAACGTGTTCAGTCATTCAAACATGTAAAAAGTTTATACTAATCATTTCGTAGTCCTTTATCAAGAACAGAAATTTCAACAATACATTTTATTAGATAAGTTTGACGTATATTTCATCAAATAACTCGAGTCAACTCTCCATGTAGCAGAGTTTACATGAAGTTTATCCACTGATAAACAATTTTAAAAACCTCGTAAAAAATGATGTTTTATTAACATTCTATAATGCATCACATCAAATAATTGACAGATAGTGAAGGAGAAGGGAATTTGAAAGTGTTTCTCTTGATTGGGATAAAAGGGAAGAGAGAAGAAGAAGAGAATCGGAAAAGAGAGGAAAGTGAAGAGAGATAAACGGGCCTTCTGAGGATCTCTGTCCAGGATAAGAGATTTACAAATCCTTTTAGAAGTACATATAAAAGAAAATAATAATAAATATAAAATTTAAAATGTGAAACCTACTTAAAATTTTGTTTGGGTCTTTAAGAAACATGTATGGGATATAAGCCATCGCTAAAAACAAATTTGATTAAAATATTATTATTATTATTATTATTAAATTTATTTTTAGAAAAATTTCTATTGCTTTGTTTTTAAGAGATTGGTTCAACCTTTTCGTCTTTAACACATAAGGTTTAAAAGACTTAACAACGTATAACGGTAGAAGAATCATGATAACGTAGTAAAATATCATTATCTGTCATTAACTTTTGTCATTTTTTGATATTACTTTATGACGTAAGGGCTTACGTCATGAGAAGTTCCTCGAAATCTTCAAGGATAAATTCTTTTTTATCTGAAAGACTCATTAATTGTGGTGAGGCGAAGTTTTTACAATTCTGCTGTAGATATGAAGTTTTACCAAGTCTTACACAAAGACTGATTGTTGTAGTTTCGACTAATAGCTCCTTTTTGATATCTTTTTCTAAGAATTGATCATACCTTCTTGAAGTAAGAGGATGATTGTCATGATCAATTTTTTGGAGTGTATCATTGAAGAAGATGTCAATGAATGACTCAGAATCCAGAAACAGATGATGTTTTGCTGGACTATACTCGCCTTTTGTGTTGCTGGGGTGTGTAGAGAATATTTCAATAAAATATTCTTTACTGTAATCACACTGAAAGAACACATTTATCTAGTAGTTAATTTTTGTACCGAAAAATGCTTCTATTACTACGTCCCTGAAAATAATCATCCTTTTCATAAACCCAGAAAAGAATAAATCATCAGTTAATATTTTGTTAATCTAGATAGGATCACATTTCACCAAATAAAGATTTATTCCGATGTTGTATTGATTAGAAGATGAGGGGGCATATTATCTTGATATTGAACTATCATCAAGTGTTGTTGGAGTGCAAAATCTTCTGGTAGTTGGAATAACCAGATCTGGAGTGCTCCAAGTTCTACTAACAAAGCATCTAAATCATGTTAGTAGATTTTTTCTTTGATTGAGCTGGGTAGATAGCCCAAAAATTTTCTTTTAAATGACCCAATATATGCCATATGCTTTGTGAAGTTTCCATAATTCATGGTTCCGAAATCATAGTTAATCTTTTGATGAAGATTTAAGATTTCAGTTTTTAATTTTTTATTTTCTTTTTTCAAACAGGAAATATGTTTTTGAAAATCTTTTTTATGTTGAAAAAGAGAGGTTTTCAATTTTTGTTATATTTTTCTAGCAAAAGCCAAATGTTGTCTGAGCTTAATGGAATCATAAATTGAAAAATTCTCTTGTTTTGTTGGTTTTTCAAAAATGAAATTACCAACTTCTAGATGGTCCAGCATGCTGTTATCACCTCCAACATAGTTGACCATTGCCTGTACAGCTTCTTCAAGGTTACAAAATCCTTAAAATTTGTTGTATTTGTCATTACTTACAACCTTCAAAAGAGAGAGATATGATAGGTAGATGTCACGTTTGTCACCAGTAAAAAGGCAGTAGGCCTCATTCTTGGGTTTTTTTTAAAAGAAGCGGGCAACATTTTTGAAAAAATAATAATTCAATGCATTGAGTTTTGCTGTTGAACTACAGGCTCAATGAAGAGCATCAAGTAGAACCTTTTGTTCCTTAGAAACGGGACAATTCTTCAGACATTTGAATTGTTGAGGATGACCTTTTGGTAAAATTGGAAGATGTTGTGTACCAAACTACTTTAGAGTATCAAACTCTTCAGTTGCTGAGACTTGTGACTTGTCTTTGTTGATTGGGCTTGCCATATTCTATACTTGTGTAACTGATAGAATTCTGTAATACCCTTTTGTTAGATTTCTTATTACAATAAGAAACTATTGTATTCATTAGACAATACCCAAAATCATCTAATATTTCTCCTAATTCATTATATTTATTATCCACTTGGAAATCATATTCTTGTGGATAAATGTGTATAATTTCATTATTTGTGAAATAATTTATTAGCCCATAATCTTTGTGCCTTTTGTCTAAATTGATTTCATCAGTGTATTCTGTTGTACTAATCACTGATAGTATTTCAGAGTCTGTAAAAACATCTTCATCAACAGGAAGAAGGTTCATGTGGCAGGATTTTATGAGTTCAACCTCTTTTGTGTAAAGGTTTGCTAGGTTAGGATAATCTCTAGAGAAATGTCCTGGTTGGTTGCAAACGAAACATTTTAATGTTTGCTTGTATGTTTTAGTGTCTTTAAATTTCCTAACGTGTCTGTCAGGATTTAGAGTTGGTTTTCTAGAATTTGAAGACGTAATCGTATAGGTCTTTCTAGAAGTAGTGGGTTTCTGTTTTGCAGAATAAGAATTTTGATTGTAATTTTTATTATACCTAGGTTTACTCCTAGGTACATACCTTCTGTAAGATTTGTTTTGATTATACTGCTAATGAGTGTATATTTGTTTGCAAATTTCAGCATCAAAATTTTTTAATTGTTTTTGTATAACAATATGTGTACACGTATCTTCCATCACTTTCATGATGTGTTGTATACGTATGGAGAGGTTATTCAACATGGGAGTAACCTCATCATTTTTCCAGGATTCTAGGATCTTTTGGCCTAGTTTTCCTGGTAGTTTGAGAAACATCTTTTCTCCTACACTTAAATCATGAAAACATCTAGCTATGGGTGCGTACATGACATAATCTTGTAAAAATTATTTTATCTTTCAAAAGTATGTTATGGAAAGTCTTTTTAGATGACCTAGATAGATTTGTTGTCTAAGTATATTCCCATCATTAGCAGATTGGGAAGTGAGCAATCTCTGTAAAAGAGAACAAAAATTGTATATGTTAGAACCTAGTTCGATTACTAACATGTTTAAATCAACTAGGTAATTCTTTTTGAAATATTCCCAACATGCTCTAACTATATCACCTAAATAGGTTTCGCCTTTAACAATAATTTCTTGAGAAGATTGAACATCTTTCTCATGGTGTATGCCATAATCATTGAATTACAACTGCCGTCCATTGTTCAATATATGTCGGCAATAATTGGGGATCAATTCCTCCTATGTTTAGAAGAAGATTAGGCATTTGAAAATTTGACTCAATTGGGAGCCTTTTGCCTTGTGTTGTGTATTGGTTGTTACTAAAAACAACATCTTGTGGTGATTCTCTGGGCAAAAATCCAATTGAATAACTTTGTACACCATCAGGTTCTAGTTGATAGCTGTGAGGTTGGAAATCATTTTATCAAACATTTGTGTTTACTAACCCTAATGTGGATAAGAGTTATGAGACTTCGAATACATCATTCAATATATCACTATTTGTGTTAACTAACCCTATTGTGGATAAGGGTTCTAGGACTTTGAATACATCATTCAATGTATCATCTTTTTCTTCTAGACACAAATTATCCAAAAATGTATCTATGATATCATCCATTTCATCCATGATATCGTCTATTTTATCTATTTGGACATTTTCATTTGTCTGAGACAAAGAATCTATAGTAGAATCTAAAGTTCCTTGTCTGTACATGGCTATAATAGCCTGATGATGATTTCGTTCCTCATCGGTCATGTCATCATCTTCATCTTCATCATATTCTACGATATTTATCATAGAAATGTTTTCGTTATCAGGAATAGCAGAAGTGTTATGCATGTTTTCCACTGGCCTATCTTGTTCTAGGTCTAGTCGTGGTATATTTCTATAGTCTATAAAGCTTAGACTAAGTCCTCTAGATCTGTTATGCAAAATAGTAGATGAAGGGGCAGTAATGAGATTATTTTCTTCCCTTGGTAAGTATGTTTGCCATAAATGTCCTTCATTTCTCCTTGTGAAGGCTTGAGATAGCAAAAATTGTGTACCATGAGAGCTGATAGCTTCCTCTAATGGTCTTATGTCTATCTTATACATGGAAGAAATATGGTTACTAATTCTTCCAATGAAGGTGATGTCTAAATGTAGATTTTTTCTGACCCAATTAGGTCCAAATCCTACCGTTTGTACTTCTAGACTTATGTGGTTAACAAAATCTGGAAGTGTTAGTGTAAATTTTGGTGCAAGGTATATCAATGAAAAAGGTTGATTTAAATCTACCTCTAAAATACCTATCACACTTTGTGAATCATTGTTTTGAAATCTGGAGTCATGTAGAACTATCAAAGCTCTAGCTCCGATCATATGTCTAGCCAAAGATCTAACTCCAATGGTAATTAATCCCATATGGACATATTATTCCTTGTTGGCCTAGTAGTTGCCTACCAGTTTGTTGAGATATCAAATGAATTATCTCATAAGTGTTGTTTGGAAGATGAAAATCTTTCATTCTTCTATATCGGTAAATACTCGTCCTTTCTGAGCTTAACCAACCAATATTGTATAACTGTCTAGGATTATGTGAATCTATCCTTGTATTTGATCATATCTCAGTATTTTGTTGTATATATACTAAGTCTTCTAAACGTCTGACATTAGTAGATCTTTGTCTGTTTAGGAATCTATCTAATATTCCTGGATGTTGTATTAGGTTTTGATTCCTAGTTTGATGTTCCCTTAGTCTTCTGGGGACTCGGGGAAATCTTTGTGTTTGATTGGAATCTGTTGTACTATTCATATCAACAATTTCTGTTTGTGTGGAGTTATTGGGTTGTGTAAACATAACTAACTCCTAATATTATTTGTGGAAGAAGAGACTTCTTATTTCTTTGTTGTCACTTTAACAAATTTCTGAGTATTCTTAGAAATTATATTTGTGTGTGTTGGTTCCTAAAGATAATTTAGAAACTTGATTAATGAGATCGTCTATCTCATTTGACTTGTTTGTATTTTTGTTTAAATCTATTAAACAAGTTAGTTTTCTAGACACTTCTTCTAGAAGTGCTATTATTGTGTTATTTTGTCCAATAAGGACTGTGTGTAGAGTCTACTTCTAAAGTAGGCTTTTTGTATCATACTGGAGGGAATTTTGTAATTTGTTCAATAGCTGCAAAAACTGTCTTGTAGTCTTTGCCTAAAAAAGGCTACAGACTTTGTATACCTTCCATTAAAATTTTGAAAATAAAAAAAATTGTAAAAAAAAGGCATGAAATCAGAGAGTGGGCAAGAAAATAAGGCAGCGAGATAAGTGGAGGAGAATAAGGGAATCCACTGAATACACTCGTAAAGTAATATTTATAAAAGACTATAAATAATCATAAGGCTTAAAATAAAATCTTGTTGGTTTTTATTATTTTTTGTTTTATTTTTGCTTTTTTTTTATCAAGAAAATAAAAGAGATGTACAAGAAAGTATTTTTACAATATGATACCCTTTGTAGTAGGACAATTTAAAGCTAGGAGAATCACGAGAACCCTAAGTCCCACGAATCTACCTGTGTGGGTTAAAGAATACTTTACATATTGCATTTTTTTTCTAGAGATATATTTCAAACTTAAATAAAATTTTTAAATCTTTCAATAAACTCTACAATTTAATATTTATTTAAAATTTAATTATTATTTTAATTTTGATTCAATAATAATAATGATAATAATAATAATAAAACTTAAAAATTTTAAAATATAGAAAAAATTGAGAGCATAAACCATGTAAAAGTTTGAGGAAGTAATAACAAGAATTTGATCATCACATGACACCAACGTGTTCAGTCATTCAAACATGTAAAAAGTTTATACTAATCATTTCAGTCCTTTATCAGGAACAGAAATTTCAACAATACATTTTATTAGATAAGTTTGACGTATATTTCATCAAATAACTCGAGTCAACTCTCCATGTAGCAGAGTTTACATGAAGTTTATCCACTGATAAACAATGTTAAAAACCTGGTAAAAAATGATGTTTTATTAACATTCCATAATGTATCAAATAATGGACAGATAGATTAAGATATAGTTTTTTCAATAGTTATTATATTATAATCATCATAATGCTTGCTGTAAAATAGAACAGTTCATCGTACTACTCAGACATGAAGTAGCAATATACAAATAATATATACTAGGCAAGTTACATTAATAAAATACTTATCACCAAACTATTGACATTTCAAAATTCTTTTCCCTCGTACCAAGAAACTGTTGACAAAAATCTGATCGCATTGGTCTCAGCTTTCACACAAACCAGAAGCTAAGATGAAGGTCCTCCCTCAACCTGGTTCTTTTTCCTGTGAAAGATGCCACTGATGTTAGGCAAAAGAACTTTCTTTGAAACTGACACCTTCCCTTTATCTAACTTCCTCAGCTCCACCTTTGGTAGTGAATTTTGCTTTTGAATCCTGTAGTGCGGAGGAGATAGTTCTGGTCTCATCTGTGTTTCAGCCAATATTCTAGATGCAGCTTCTGCTACTTTCTTCTGCTCTCTTTCTCGCCACTTTCTGAGCTCATTCTCCACTGCCCTCTTTGCTGCTTCAGCCATCTCAGCCTTTTTCAAGACTGCTTGTGTTTCAGTCTTCATATCCTCAATTTCCTTTTGAGTTTCCTCTAACCTTTTTAGAACTTCATTTTCACTAGTCTTTGTAGCTTCAACCTGCGCTTTGGCAGCATCCACTTTGATATCCGCTAGTTTATCAGACTCCTCAACCTTATGAACCAAGGACTCAAACTCCTCCCTTGAGATTTCAATTTTTGCACCAGATTCAGAAGTTGATGAATGAGAAGCACCCATGCTCACAGATAAGACCTTGATCTGATCCAGAGCACTTGCCTCAGCTGCTTTTGCCGCTTCTGCTTCTTCCAATGCTACTTTAAGCTTTATTTCGGCATCTTCTAACACAAGTTTAGTGACTACAGCTCCCATCTTCAATTTTGCTGCCTCATCCTTCATATCTTCTGTTTCCCTCCTTGCTTTTTCAGTTTCAGTCAACAACCGGTTCAATGTCAATATCATTTCCTCTGTTTCACCTCTAGCTTTAGATTCTTCTGCCAAGTAGGCTTCAAGTTCAGACTCACTTTTCTGGAGCTCAACCCGCAGATTCTCAACCACGGATTCAGTTTTGAATTCTTTGTCTCTCAATGCAGTGTGTTCTCTTTTTACATTCTCCAGCTCCATCCTAAGAGCTTCCATCATGGCTCTAAGGGAGTCTTCCTGTCCTGCTACTTTCTGCAGTGATTCCGTAGCATCATCAAGATCCAGAGTGACACTTCTCAAAGAGTTCAAGTCTGATTTCTTTGTCTTTTCCATTTGTTCTTGCAGAACACCTATTTCATTCATTGTCTCAGTCAGCTGCACTTCTAGATTTTTGGTAAGCTCTGGATTGAAATCCTTCTTTAAATCAAGTAAATTCCCTTTTGATTCTTCAAGGATGGCTTCATATGATTGTCTTAGAACATTTTGCTCGATTAATGTCTCTTCTTGTAGCAACTGTGCTTGGACAGATTCAGCATTAGTTTGATCAATTGATTCCAGTACAGCCAAAATTTCTTTAGATAGTTCAGATGCTCTTCGGGTGTTCGCCTTCATTGCATCTTCAGCCTCTGCTGCTTGCTTGAACGCAGAAGCTCTTGCTTCTAATGATAAATCATACCCCTGCCGAATTTTACTCAGTTCTTGCTTTGCAACATCAAGTTCTGCAATGACAGAGGCATAACTTTTAACGGCAGTTTCTAACTCTTCTTTCCAAGTACCATTGGTTCCATCAGGATCACCACACTTTTGTTCTTTAAGCTGTTTTGCTCGACTTTTTGAAACATCGGTTGTTTGTATTGCTAATTCTCTGGATTCACTGAGAACTTCAAGCTTTTGAGAGAGATCCTCAACCACTCTTTTAGCCTTTTCAAGCTCCACCAGAACTTGAGCCTTGGTAGTTTCTGCATTCTTTAGTTGTTCCTTTATTTTTTTCAGCTCTTTTTGGGCTAGGTGAAGTTGTGACTCCTTTGCCCAAACGCTCTAACGAAATAGCAAGTCTTGTAAGTAGTAATATGCAGTATTAAAAAGGCTTTGGAAGTTCGAAAATTAAATAATGACCAAAATTTCATTGCTTGGTTACGAGAACAACTTGTCCAATTTGAACGACATTTAATAGCTTTTCCAAAACTTGATTATCTACATTGAATGCAACTTGTCTCGGATCATATATAAATCCACTTAAACTCCATTCTAAACAATAGAAACAATTTTCACTTATGTGGTAAATGAGAGCATGTCATTATATGAAAACATGACCAATGTTAACAAGGAGATGTAATCAACAACTGAATCAAAGCGCGATACTGGATTGTGCAGAACAAATTGTCAAAATTTAGAGACCTAACGATAATATAAAAGAATTTGAACTAATAAGAATAAATGTCTCCAAACATTTTCACATTGCACCGTGGTCAAACTTTTTCCATCAGAACACAAGGTGGAGAGACAATTTAGGTTCATAATCTCTACCAATTCTCAGAATGAATTTAAACTAAAGTTGTAGGCTCCGCTATAGTTATTGATTTTCAACTTCAGATATAGTTTAACAGTAACAATATGGTATTTATAGTTTGTAACACCTAGAAATACAAAAGGAAAGGAAAAGAAAATCATAGTTACCTGAGCAAAATAAGGTTTTGGCTTCTTAATGGCAGGTTTTTCACCAGATAAAGCACCTTCACCAAATAGAGAAACAGCATCTTTAACAGATTGAAAAGGTGGACTGGTGTCAATCTCTCCAACCACTGGTTTTTTAGGATTTGGAGAGTTAGCAGAACTTTGCCGGATTTTGGCCACCATAGTGCCTTATATTTTAATTTAAATAATACTCACAATAATAATAGACTTTGAAGCCAACCTGATCCGAAGAAAAAATGATGTTACAAGAAAGAATCTGAAAGAAAAACAATATCAACAAAACACATTGCAAACATCAAACTCAAAACAATCCCACTCTCACATATCAAAGATCTCTCATGGAATCCACACCAAAAGAACCACCAAGTAGTCTATTCAGATATCTTAACAAAATCCCACAAACAAAACCGCATCAAAGATTTTATCCTTCAATGAATCGAAAGAAAAATCACCGACAAATATCAGAAAAGAAAAATCCGTTGAAGGGTGTTTCTGGGAAAATTTCAAAGACAGTAGAGAATCAGTGACATTGAATTGCAGAGTGAAATTGAGGCGAAGAATCTCCACATACTTGTGAAGAGGGAAAGAGAGAGATGGGTTCGGTTGAAGTGAAAATGCGAAATGCGTGGTGTGTTTAAAGACAAACTTTGCATCAGCATCGTTGAGAGAGTGTAAAAGGGGAAATAATTGTATGCAATCGTTCCTATTCAAGATTCCTCTAAAATGGTTTTGGTATACGATCATCCGTAGAACACAGTGGCTGTGATGTGAGCTCAGTTATCGTGACTTGTGAGGAGCTTTACGTAAAATTCTGTCATGATAAAAGTTGCAGTAAAGATGGTTGGCCACGTCAACACCCTCTGTCACACAGTGAACAAAGGACAATTTTTTATTTTTTCCTTCCTCTGTTACTTTTTCAGAATCGTAATTTTTTACGTGACAGACAATGTGTTATGAACTGTTTGTTTATACATCATCACAAAAAAATATATTAAATAAAAGATTTGTTTTTTTTGTAGAAAGGAAAAAACAGAAAAATATGGAGATGGTGGTGTGTAAATTATAAAAAGGGGAAAAAGACAACCTCGCTTGTCCTTTTCTTCGCAATGTGTCTCAACAACTCAAACATCTGCCAGCAATTATTTGGGACATGATCCTCGTCAATCTCGATATTAGTTGTAAATTAGTTTCAATTTTAATAACATAATTATATTTAATAGAAAAAATATATTTAATTTTTTTCTTTATATTTTTATTCTATCACCGTCAGAGAATTTTCTTCAAACTAACCTAAAATAAAATTAACTTCTATGTGTGAACTAATATTCAAAATTTTTGAAAAAGCTATTAAGAAATATCTTTCAGGTAATTGAATCTAAAAAAACAAAGTTTATCAAGATGAAAAGTTTATGTGAATTGATAAGTGAAGTTTACCTAAAAATGGATTGGAGTACTTAATTCTTAATATTTCAGTTTTCAAATCCTTTTCTTATGTTATGGGTTAGTTCACACCTTCATCTCACTAATGAAAATTAAATCACGATTAGAAATATAAACGAGAGAAGTACATATATCTAAAAAAAATAAATTAGTAAGATATATAATAATTTAATATTAACAAGATATTTCGTATATGATAATAGAAATATTATTATAAATAGGACAAGAATGAATCATATAAAATAAGATAAGAGAATATGATATTATTTTTAATAAAAATATTAAGAAATTAGAAACTTTCTATTTACAAATATTTAGAACTAAATTATGAATGTGAACATCCAACATAATTAATAGTAGTCGCATCAATCTTATTTTCATGTTATTACGATGCAACTTTAATTAACAACTTATTTTTTGTCTCTCTTTAGTATTATACAAATCTCAGTATTATCATAAATTATTATTTTGATATTATTAGTTAATTTCTTTATAATAATTAATCTCATTTTAGGGTATGAACCTTAGTTTTTATGAAAATACTACCTTTCGGTCAAATGTTTAGTTATTTCAATTAAATCTTCATTCAATTAATATATTTTTTCTTTTTTGTATGATTTAGAAACTGTCCACTTCAATGCATGTGCTGGTCGAAACCTGTTTCTTCTTGTAATGATTTGTTTTATATAAATATGTTCTAAAAAGCTTATTTTCAAAATGAGTTTTGAATTGTGTTTTTAAAATATAATTTTTTGGATTGTATTTTTTAAAATCCATTTAAAAAAAATTGATTCTCGAACATTTATAAAAAAAGAGTTAAATATATTTTTAGAAAACATAATCCATATAAGTTTTAGATTTATTTTTCGAAATTTTTTGAAAATATATTATGAATTAAACAATTTAAAATTTATTTTCAAAAAATATAATCTGAAAATAAGTTTCGGATTAATTTATCTAGAATTCATTTTTAGATTATATTTTCTATAAATATATTCAAGATTTAATACCATAAATAAAAATCAAATACATTTTTTTATGAGATTTTTTATATATAATATGTTATATGATCCAAATAATAAATTACCAATAAATTATTAACTTTAACATTGAAAATATACTTAAATGAAGACCTAGAAGACTACACGAAAGAAGAAAATTATTCTTAAAGATATTTTTAGTATTTTAGATATATTATGGGTTTGAGGAAACATCGCTTGGGCGAAATGAATGAGTCAAGAGACACACATATGGGCTCAGGAAGCCCACTCAAAGCCCAAAAATATTATGGATCAAGGCATAAAGCTAAAATAATCCTCTTACCCTTTTTCTTATCATTTATTTCTCTCATATTTGTTTTCTTCTATTTTCTTTTCTACTCAAACAAACTTATGAAAAAAAAAAATCTCTACTTCTTTCTTTTATTTTTATTCATCCCAAAAAAATTTAATTTAATTTAAGTACGAAAGAGGAGGAGGGAAATACGCACATCCATTATGCTACAGGATTTTACTATAAAATATTATATTATATGTTATACCAAATGAAAGATACAAATAATAAATAATTAAACAATAATATTTATTTGAAGATATTAAAATAGCAAAAGGAAAATACATAATTGTTTAAATACCGGTTCAAACCAGATTCTACTGGGTCTTCTTCAATTTAAACTAGTTTAATTTTTTTCTCAGTTAATCTGCTTTTTTTATTTCATCTAATTTTTTAATCGTTCAAAGGACAAACAGATAAACTGTAAAATGTCATTTTCTTTTCGTGTTTTTTTCTTCGTTCCCTTGATTTGCAGAAAATTCAAAGCAGTATGAATCCAAGACCAAATCAGGATTTGCGACGGCTAATGACTTTATTTAAAACACAAATCGATGGGATATATACGAGAGAGAGAGAGATAGATAGAGACAGGGAGAGAACGGAACGGTCATCATAAGTTTAACTTATACTGTGATTATAAAATATTTTTTACGTTAAATAATAAATATGTATGGAGGAAATATAAATATTTTTATATTTCTGTTTAGTAAAAAGTGTGTCTCATCTCGTTTATGCTATGATATATTGTTAAGGTTAATTTTTATCTCGAAGTTGAAGTTTTAAGTTTATCAAAATCAGTTAAACAAGTAAAATATATATAATTTATCTTTAACTGGAATATAAATTTGAGTAAAAAAAAGTTAAACTCTATTCTCAATCCTATTTTATAATGTTTATACGAGAATTTCGTAATTATATATTTACTGTGATAATTTAATTAGGGTAATTTCTTGTGTTGGAAATTTTTTGATTTGAATGGTATTTGAGCATGTATCTTAAAATCATATGGATTAATTGAGAATGCCTTCGTGTCGACTAGTGTGCACATTTCTTTGAACAATGGTTGGATGATTTTTTTTTTGTTTTCTGACAACTTTCTTTCTTCTTCACAAGGGAACAAGTTTCATAAGTTTTGGTCCAGCGAGGCTTGTCTTTGTCTTCACCACCGTTGTGTGGAAACAAACAAAGTGTTAAATAGGTTACGGAAATGACTGTAGCCGAGTAAAGCTAACCATTGAGCCAACATGCATAGATAGGATGAATGTAAAATATTATATAACTGGATTTACATTTGATCTTTGTATGCAGATACTTGCATAATAATACTTTCCAATTTTGTAATGTTTTGTCTTTTGGAAAATTGACTGAATTTGTATTAAAATAATATGTGGCTAGGTTATGACAGTGGTGAAGCAATAGTCGTCAACAAACGTGCAACACTATCTTGCTTCCTCAGCACCTCATACATAGTTGTCTATCTTCCATTAGCCACAAAAACAAGACAACTTCATCGGAAAGTAGAGAGAGAATGGGAGAAGAAGAGTCCCGTGTTAGGTTGTTTGAGACAAAGGAAGGAAGATTCCGAGGAGTGTACAAGGTATTTGCATCCACAATATTTGCTGCTATTTGTCTGATTTGGGTGTATAGAGTGGGAAGCATGGGGGAAGTTAGAAGAGGAAGGTGGGCATGGATGAGTGCTATGGTTTCAGAGTTTGGATTTGGATTGTATTGGATCATCACTCAGTCTGTTCGGTGGAGAATAGTCTATCAGACACCTTTCAAGCACAGGCTCTCCCACAGGTTGCTTACTTCTCTTCACCCTCTCTCTCTCTCTCTTTCACTTTCCACTTCTCTTTTATCATCAAAAACATATTTAATTACGTAAATTATAAATTTAAATATTATACATTTACTGCAACTAGTAAAATATTATAAAAGCATAATATTTGTATCAATAGATATATAATAAAATTATAAAATAAATTTTATGTTTTTGAATTTGATATCTCCTTACACACCTTTACTTTTCTTTCATCTCACTTTTTCTATATATTTTTTCATCCATTTTTAACAATTTTCTACAAGAGGATCTGAATCCGGACCCAACTTCAAGTCTTTTAATTCTTTTAAAAAAAGACACTCTGAATTTGACTAAGCGCGTCTGAGAGCCAATAATTAAGAAACAAATCGAAGAACACTCATCTTCAAACACTACTTTACACTATTCCAAAATTATTTATATAGCGTAAACCAATTACCAAATTTATTACAAGAAAATACAATTTTAATTAAAATTATTTTTCTCCTTAAATGCAATTTTAACCTCAGTTAAATATTTTAAGATTATTTTTCTCCTATATATGGAACCACTCTCTCGTCTATCATAAATTTTCATCTGTACAAAATTTAACTTATTTCTTGTTGGCTTTTTACTGTCAAATGCCGCAAAACATTATAAATCGTGTGACAGAATTTTCCTTTAATTTCTTTAAGATTTTTCCATTCCAGCCATCTTCCGTGGATTATATAGTTGATATATCATTCTTTATTTTATAGTGATTATTTTGTACTATATAGGTCCAAGGTACTTAAAATATGCCAAAATGACATTAACTGTGTGTTTTGAAGAGATCCTCAACTACGAATATGATAGAACATTATCTTTATAAATAATTTCGAAGAAACAAATGAAATAAAACATATTTTATATGTTAAAATTAATTTACATATACAAATTAAAAGTGAAATTTTAGAAAAATGGTAAGATTTCATTATTCCATATTCTGCGTGAGAAGAGACAAATCTGTTTGGTACTTTTTCATTTTTTTTCCTATAAAAGGAATACCGTTTTTATGTTGTAAAACATACCAAAATTATTTATTTTTCTTTCTCTTACTGTTTCAAAGTTTTAATGTTTGAAAAATAACTTAATAGGAAAAATTGATTTCTCCCTTAAGATTCTTTTAAAGTTATTTTTTTTGTTTTTAATAAAAATAAAAAAGATAGAGAAAGATTATAATTTATTTTATTAATGAAATTATTTTTATTTATTTATTATCAGTATTTTTCTCAATTTTCTATTTTAATTGTGTATCATTGAGCTTTTATAATACTAACCCTTTACCATTTCTTGGTATATATTTATGTGTTTGAAATAAAATTATCGACCATCATCACTGAATTATGTATTATTTTAACTAAACTGTGCACCGTTTCGTTTTAAGCTTTCCAAAATACCACTGTAATGTTAAATTCCTGGAGAACAAAACCATAACAAATATGCGACAACATGCACGTGTTATATATTATATTTTATCCTTTCAAGTGATTGTTATGTGTAAAATAGTAAAGAAAAATGGAGAACTTTTGGGAAATTTGTTTACAGATACGACGAGGAGAATCTACCAGAAGTAGACATTTTTGTGTGCACTGCCGATCCAAAACTGGAGCCTCCATGCATGGTGATTAACACGGTGTTATCAGCAATGGCATACAATTATCCTGCAAATAAATTGAACGTGTATCTCTCTGATGATGGAGGGTCTGAGTTAACATTCTATGCTCTCTTAAAGGCCTCCATTTTCTCCAAACATTGGTTACCTTTTTGTAGAAGATTCAATGTTGAACCTAGGTCCCCAGAGGTATTCTTTGCTCAAAATTGTAGCAGCAGCCCTACCACTAAGTATGGCAAAGCATGCTTATTTATCAAGGTAACCAAGTTCTTCATTAATGCTATCTTCGTTATGGCATGAAAATTAATGAGACTATATATATATTCCATTCCATTTATATATATCAGAAATTATACGAAGAAATGAAAGGTGAGATTGAATCAGCCGCAGCAAGTGGAAAGCTTCCAGAGAATGTGAGGAATCAGCACAGAGGATTCTCAGAATGGAATCCAAAAACAACAAAGCAGGATCACCAGCCTATCGTGCAGGTGCGAAAATTTTTAATTTCACGAAAAATGAGGAACATTTTAGTATTCTGTATGGTTAATGTTTCAAATATAATATTTCTTCTTGATTGTATTAGATTATAGTCGATGGAAGGGACAGAAATGCTGTAGATGAAGATGGAGTTCAACTTCCAACAGTGGTTTACATGGCACGTGAGAAACGACCCAACCACCCTCATCACTTCAAAGCTGGAGCTATCAATGCACTGGTGAGTAACGTTTGCAGCATTTTTTTAACACGTTATTTTGGGATAAGAAAAATGAATATAATGGTAGCAATTAGTTTTATCAAAATCTCTGCTGTTGATAATTTATTTCATGTCCTATAACAAAGAAAACAAATAGGTTATTATTTATCTTATTTTATTTTGCATAAATTAAAACGTCAACACATTTCATAACAGGTTTTGTGTTCTGCAGATAAGAGTGTCATCCGAAATAAGCAACGCCCCTTTCATCCTCAACTTGGACTGTGATATGTACTCCAATAATGCAGATACAATTCAAGAAATACTGTGTTTTTTCCTCGATGAAACAAAAGGTGAAGATATAGCTTATGTACAATTTCCACAAAGCTATAATAACATCACCAAGAATGACCATTATGCAAATTCTTATCTCGTAAGCGGTAAGGTGAGTAATAAGAGTGATTTAATAACTTTATCTAGACTATAGAATCAGAAAGATGAAGTAACAGTATTGAGTCTAATTTTCTTATACACATAAAGGTTGAGTTGGCTGGCATATGCGGATATGGAGCAGCCTTGTTCTGTGGAACTGGATGCTTACATAGAAGAGAAAGTCTTTCAGGATCTTACTTAAGAGATTACAGAGTAAAACGGGACATGAAGCCTAAAAGAAACGATAACAGAACAATTGATGAAGTGAATGAAGCGTCGAAGGCTCTTGCCACTTGCACCTATGAGGAGGGCACGCAATGGGGGAAGGAGGTATATGTTTGCTTCTAGAATTTTATCTAAAAACTTTCAATGATTGATAATATATATATATATATATATATATATATATATATATATATATATATATATATATATATATATATTAATACTCATGGATGTTGCAGATGGGATTAGTATATGGTATTCCAGTAGAAGACATTGCGACTGGCCTTGTAATCTCGTGTAAGGGTTGGAAATCTATTTATTACAACCCAGAAAGGAAGGCATTCGTGGGCACGGCTCCAACAACCTTGGATGTAGCCTGTCTTCAGCATACGAGGTGGTCAGAAGGCATGTTCCAAGTTTTCTTCTCCAAGTATTGCCCTTTCATTTATGGGCGTGGGAAGATACACTTGGGTGTACAAATGGGATACTGCAATTACCTCTTGTGGGCTCCAATGTCACTGCCTACTCTTTGTTACGCCATTGTTCTTCCTATTTGCTTGCTTCATGGCATTCCATTGTTCCCTCAGGTTGTCTCGTCGTTGGAATAAAATTGATTTTTTTCATTAATTTCGTTGCACTTATTTGCCTCTACTTCATGTTTTTGCAGCTCTCAAGCACATGGGTGCTTCCATTTGCGTATGCATTTCTTGCAACCTATGGCTATAGCTTGTGTGAGTATTTGAATTGTGGATCCACGACAAAGGGTTGGTGGAATTTGCAAAGAATAAAATTCCTCCATAGAATCACCTCTTATCTCTTTGGTTTCATTGACACTATGACCAAGCAATTAGGACTGTCACAGACAAACTTTGTCGTCACAGATAAAGTGGTTACTGAGGATGTTTGGAAGAGATATGAGCAAGAAATCATTGAGTTTGGGGGCTCTTCAATCATGTTGACCATATTATCAACAGTGGCTTTGCTAAACCTTTTTGGTCTGGTTGGAGGAATCAAGAGGGTTCTAATGGATTTGGAATTCAGTTCAAGCCAATTCATGGTGCAGATCACAGTGAGTTTATTGGTGGTAATGATCAATTTACCTACATATGAGGCACTGTTCATTCGTAGTGATAAAGGCTGCATATCATCCTCCATTATGCTCAAGTCCATTGTCTTGGCTTCATTAGCATGCTACCTAGCATCTTTCATTTGCTAGTCTAGCTTAGTGCAAGTGCAATGCTTGAAGTGTGGTTCATTCCTTAGCAGTGATACAAAAACTCTATTAATTCTTCTCATTTGTGAATAGATGCAAGACTTTGTCATATTCTATTAACTCCCAGAATTTCTCATTGGAAAAATAAACAAAGTTTTCATTAAATAAATTTGTAATATTTTTACCATTGAATAAGGATATAGTATAAAAATTATCGTTAAGACTTTGACATAATAAAAATATGCCATCACAAAAAAACATTAAACTATTCTTTATACAATCTTATTTATTAATATTATATTTACAAAATAATTAATTTTAAATAAAATTAATTAAAAATTATTATTTTATTAATAAATGAAGTTGTTGAATAGATGTTATTGAGAGAGTGGATTATGAATCTATCTTTTACCTAAAAATATTATGAAGATATGTATTGTTAAATTGGGTCATTTGAAAAATATTGAGCCGTTGAGTTGACAAATTGATTAAGTTCAATTTTCAGGAATTTGCTGTTGGCACCCATCGTTTCCATCTGCACCTCTAATTTTTAGAAAGACATAATTTCACTTAATAGTGTTTATATGTCTCACTTCTTATATTTTATAAATCATAACTAAATATTTTAGCCGTCCTTATATTTAATTATAAATTTTTATTTTAAAATGTAAAATTAATTATGCTTGAGTTAAAAAACAGGCACTATAATTTTGGTAATTAATATAAATAAAACATGTATCTAAACTAATTCTTCATATATATCATTCAGACATGATTATCCATGCCCATACCCTAAACCCGAAAAAGTGAGGAAAATGCTTTTCCAGATTCTTTGAGAAGGAAAGCGACATCTCAAAAACAAAAATAGTGCTTTATTAGTCATCTTTCCTTGGATTTTCTCCCTCTTCTTCATAATTTGTTTCCTTTTCTCTCACCTCATCATGATTGCCAAGCCACATTAGGTTGAAATTAAATAATATAATCCATTTTTTAGGATTGAATTAATTATCTATTTATTTTCTAAGAACATTAAAACCTATCTTATCTTCTCATAAGCTAAGTTTATAAAATTAAATTAGGTTTTTATTTATCTTTCTAAGACCTACCAAATTTATATTATTTTTTCGTGAAACAAGTCTTTTTTGTTCTCTTCTTATCTTTCACAGCACATGGAAGCAATCATTCATTCACGTGTATCAGTGATTCCATTACGTACTGCAATCTATAACACAAGATTCGATATATTATTCAACAAATCCCTACATTCACACCCCCTTTCATTATTATTTTGGGTACACATTCTTATCATTCCAAACATATAATTCAACGACGATTAATATATAATGAAAATTTTATAATTGTTGATGTAGTTATCATTCAAAGTTATGAAAATAATGATAAATTTAATTTATCGTTATAGGTTATAAACAAGACGGTTATAAATATAATCAAGTGTTATCTAACTTAGTAAATTTTGTTTATTCTCAACATACCAATGTTAATGTTCTCAATACATTAATAAGGTTGCATTTTTTAATTTGTCTTTCACCTTGTATTCAAACAGAACCAATAATTTTAGATGAGGTGACCAATTTATAAAAAATCGACAAGATAATATCTTTGCAGGATTTTCAATAATTTGACCTCACATTCTGCTCCGAAGTCCCATACCGACCAAGTATGGGTACCTGGCCACACCTGCTCCACACATTTCCAATCATCATTCCCCACACAGTTGATAAAAATAAAAAAAATTAAAGTCGAAACTAAGATTATTTAAATAGATTGACAGAAAAAATAATAAAAAAAAAGCCCTAACAAAATTAAGTATATTATATCTTCCTTGCCTCTTTATAAGTTAAAAAGGTGAGTTTATTCCTATATTCTCTCGTCTGAACAAATTTTGCAATGCAGAATTTGTTGCACTTTCAACATAAATCATCATCGATCACTGGTTCCAAACGCACCTACCATCGTAAATCAATTCTTCTTCATCCTTACTAACAATAAATGGGTTAAAGCAAACTCGTTATAAATCTCAAATGAATTTCTTAAATAATATATTTAAAATAAAAAATTATTGAAATAAAATTTCTATAAATTTATTTACTTAAATTTATTGTTGATATACAAAATTCAATAATAAAAAGTATTTTTTATATAATTTAAATATTTTATTTTATTTTTCATTTATTTTTTATTACTCTTTTTTCTTTATCCATCTACTTGTTTTTTTTCTCCTTTTTTATTCTTTTATTACTTATCTTATTTTTTTAATTAAAAATATCACATTAAAATTTTGATAAAATGTTAAAAAAATATTACGACAAATTCTATTTAATTTATTATATTATATTTAAAAAAATATTATATTATAAATTCGAGATACGACAAATTCTTATTTAATTTATTAAGAAAAAAATTAAATATTTATTATATAATAAATTTTTAACAAATATTTTTTTTAAATTATATAGTATAACTAATTTTCATTACTTACCCAATTATAATTAGATCAAATTATTAAATAAAAAATATATTTAACTTATAAATATTTAATTTTTTTAATTAGATGAATAATTGATTTATTATGATAAAATAATTTAAAATTAATTATTTACATTATCGTAAAAAAATATTAATTGTTATAATAAATAAAATTATTTATTGTCATCATAATTGATATTTTTAGTTTTAATATTAATTTTAAAAAATTTATATATATTTTTTTAGTTATAAAGAGAGACATAATATGTATTTTCTTAACAATTATAACATAATTAATTATAATACCTTAAATTTATAATATAATATTTTTTTAAAATATGATATATTAAATTGTAATATTTTTAGATAATTTAAATATTTTTTAAATAATAAAAAACTCATTCTATCAAATTTTAATTTAATATTTTTAATTAAAAAATAAAGTGACAAAAGAATAAAAAATAAATAAAATTACCACAATAGAAAAAAAGAAGAAGAAAGAATTAAACGAAGAGATTGAAAAAAAAATATCCATATCATATCAGAAAAAAATATTTTTTATTATTAAATTTTACGTAACAATAATAAACAGTTATAATTGATAAATAAATTTATAGAAATTATAAATTTTTTATTTTAAATATATTATTTAAAAATTGATTCAATGCTAAAAACAATGTATCGGTGTCATTTACATTATTTAGATGATAATGGACTGAAATAACATTAAGTTTAAATATTATGGATGCTCAATATAAATGATGATTAAGCTGCAACGTTTCCGTAACCTACAAAAGGAATGCTTCAAACTTTTAGTTCTCGTTAAACTTTCTCCTTTCAAATAATTCATCAATATTTTACATGCAACAATTTTATTATTACATATTAATAATGTTTAAATATATTTTATGATATTTATTTTATGGATTACAAATTATAATAATACATTTAATAACAGTGTACTTAAATTGCCATAGAAAACACATTTTAAAATTAATTTGTAATATTTTTTTTCATAACATGTTTTTGAATTCGTAAAGCCAATAAGCTAATTTTAGCGTGCGAAACTATCCATCTTGGTTTCTTCAGCAAATTGCTCACTTTCAATTTGCTTAGTTGTAATGTCAGTGTGAAGGTGACATCCACCACACAACACAGATTGGTGTGGCTATAAAAGAGAGAAGAACGACATATACATTGGTAACATAAAAATAATGATAATACTATATAATAAAAGTAATAATGATCAAAATAAAAATAAAGGTTTTGTCTTGTTAATATTATTATGATTAAGAAGTTTTTCTATATAAGATGGATTAACTCAACGCAACATCAACAACAGGTTACACTGGACTGAGTTTGAAGAAGTAATTATGGGGAGTGGTGAAGAGAACTCACTGTTTGAGACTAGCAAAGACAGAGCAAGGCACATTCGTAGGGTCTATGCTGTCTCTATGTTTGTAGCTATATGCTTCGTCTGGACATTCAGATTGAAGCACGTACCAGCAAAAGGGGAACCAGGGCAATGGGCTTGGCTTGGTTTGTTTGCTGCAGAACTGTGCTCTGGCATCTATTGGGTCTTCTATCAAACCCTCCGCTGGAACATGGTCTACAGAAAAACCTTCCCCGACAGACTCTCCCAGAGGTGAAACTTCTCCACCTTTACTTCACGGCTTTCCGGTGTCTGTTTTAAACAAAGAATTATAATAAATAGTATGTGTGTGTTTTAATTTGACAGATATGAAAGTAAGTTGCCGGGAGTGGACATATTTGTGTTTACGGCAGATCCAGTGGTTGAGCCACCCGTGATGGTGATAAATACTGTCTTATCTGCGATGGCTTACGACTATCCAACTGAGAAGCTGAGTGTGTATCTCTCAGATGATGCTGCCTCAGATGTAACTTTTTATGCTCTTTTGGAGGCTTCTAACTTTGCCAAGCATTGGGTGCCATTCTGCAAGAGATTTAAGCTCGAACCGAGGTCACCTTCTGCCTTTTTTAACACCCTTCTCTCAACAAAATCACACGACCATGACTATGTCAAGCACTTGGCAACCATCCAGGTATGATAATCACAATGTTTTTTTCAGTTGCATCTCAATTGTTAGCACGTATTGTGAAGAAGACTGTTCTTGCGTTTTATTTGTAGAAATTATACGAAGAAATGAAAAGGCGAATAGAAGATGCAACCAAGTTAGGAGTACCCAGTGAAGCACGGTCAAAGCATAATGGATTTTCCCAATGGGATTCGTACTCCTCTCGACGTGATCACGACACTATCCTTCAAGTAGGTTAATTATTAACATTCTCAACTTATATTTCAGAGTTTTACATGTCAATATTATTAGTTGTTAAAAGAATAATTTTGATTGTGTATGATCTTACCAGATACTGGTGCATAAAAACGAGTCGCAAAACTCGAAGGATGTAGAAGGATGCATTTTGCCAACCCTAGTTTACGTGGCTCGCGAGAAGAGACCTCAATATCACACCCACTACAAAGCCGGAGCTGTAAATTCATTGGTATAGTACATATAATTACAACTCTTATTTTTTACTTTAAAATTATAAGATGAAGAATGGCATCTCAAATCATTACTGGTACAGACATTTGTGAGGTTGTGAAATTTGTAAAATAACGAGTCAGTCGCATGATACATTAATTATTCAAGTTGACACATATTGCCAATGATTCATTAAACATTTGATATAGTGTTATTTTGTGAATCAATATTTTTGTTTGCCTAATTATTTCTAAGTAACATAACTAAATATACTGTTCAATCCTTGTGCATTGAATATGACATTGTTTTCTTTTACTACATGTAGCTAAGAGTGTCTTCAAAGATTAGCAAAGGGAAAATTATTCTATTTCTCGATTGTGACATGTACTCAACCAATTCGCAATCAGTGAGAGAAGTTCTATGTTTTTTCATGGATGAAGATAAAGGCCAAAAGATTGCATATGTGCAATGTCCACAATATTTTCATAATATTGGTAAAAATGATCTATACGCGAATGCTGTATCAGAAACTTTGCAGGTAAGTTAAATTATTGATGGAATCAAATGTTTTTCAGTGGTTAATTTGTCCCCTCTACCTTCCCTTATTTCAGTTTTATTCTATCTGTAGATAGACTTAGTTGTGAGTATATTTCTATTATAACATGTTTGTGTGTGAAAATACATATTAATAATAATTTCTTTAAATAACATTATTACTATTATTATTATTATAACGAATACTAATATATATCTTTTACAAATACTTTCACATTATCTCGATCACTTTGAAGATACACCTCCATGGTGAAGATGGTTTGGGTGGCTCTTTGTTTATTGGAACTTGTTGCTTTCTTAGAAGAGATGCTTTTTGTGGGAAGAAGTTTAGTCCTGAATGGGAAAATGATTGGAATGATGAGAACGAGAAACATCAGTTGAGTGAAGTAAAGTTGCATGAACTCGAAGAAGAATCGAAGGCTTTAGCAAGTTGCACCTACGAAAAAAATACTTTATGGGGAAAGAAGGTGATTTATTAATCTCTCTTTATACTTTATTGACAATCGCAAACATAAAATTTAAGTGGTTCTTCATCCCGCATCATCCATAACTATATTGTCCATTAATAAATAACACATATTTACATAAATATCTATTGAAATCATAGTCAAATATAATTCATGAGCGCATAAAAAAGTACAATAAAAGATTTAAAAGTGTATAATTTGTTTTATTGTAGATTGGTTCAGTATATGGATGTCTTGTGGAGGATGTGATAACAGGGTTTCGGATACAATCACAAGGATGGAGATCAGTGTGCTACAACCCTCCGAGAAAGTGTTTTATAGGTGTTGCACCAACTAACTTGCTTCAAACACTGGTTCAACATAAGAGATGGGTTCAAGGTGACATGCAAATCTTGTTATCTGAGTACAGACCTACATGCTTTGGTGATAGAAAGATCAATTTCCTCCAACTATTGGCATATCTGTACACTGTCTGTTTTTCAATCATTTCCTTGCCAATGCTATATTACTCCATCATCCCTTCACTTTATCTCCTCAAGGGCATTTCCTTGTTTCCAGAGGTAATATTGACTTCCTCTTCTCTCTCAAACTCTTCATCAAATATACATATCACAAAGAAAGAAAATTTAACATGTTGTGCTCAATATGTGGGTTGAACAGATGTCTAGCTCATGGTTCATACCTTTCGCATGTGTAATTGTTGGGAATACTACTTATAGTTTGATCGAGGGTTTGAGTATCGGAGCATCAATCAGAGGTTGGTGGAATGCTATGAGAATGTGGTTGTACTTGAGAACAAGTGCCTTTTTCTTTGCCTTCATAGACGCCATCTTCGAACACTTTGGACGTGCAAATTCATCCTTTGTAGTCACAGCAAAGACCATAGAAGATGATGCTGCCCAACGTTACGAGAAAGAGATCATGGAGTTTGGAACCTCTTCTCCGTATTTCACTGTTCTGGCAACACTCGCATTGCTCAATTTGTTTTGTTTGCTTGCAACTTTAAAGGACTTGGTCCTTGGAAATGGTGCCTTTGATGCTGAGAAAATGGTACTGCAACTTCTCTTGTGCGTAGTATTGGTTCTCATCAATTTTCCCCTATACGAAGCCATTTTTATAAGGAAGGATAAGGGTAGATTGCCAACCTCTCTTTCTATCAAGTCTACTACATTGGCTTTCACTGCATGCGTCTTCTTCAAACTGTTCAACTGAATTATTGTAGTCTTTGCTTTTATCTATCTTCTGATGGCAAGGACATTTCCTTGCATTTGCAGATGTTTACCTTTCCATCGAAAAATATGTACTCCTTGTTGTACTTTCAATAGAAATGAAAACAAATGTTCCCAACGTTATTGATATCTAAATATTTATTCTGGGTTATGCTAGAGGATATACACTCGCAACAAAAAATTCCTAATATATAGTTATATCAACCAGCTAGTAACATAAAACTTAAGACTGGACCTGAATTATTATTTAATCAATATAAATCTTAGAGTGAATTGTTATATTTCATCTTCTATTTAGCTTATTCTAATTTGTTATATAATTTATTTGTAATCCTGTTTATGAAATGTCCGTATAAATTACTATACAAGGGACTTAACCCGTTTGATAATAAATTCAGTAATTAATAATGATGAATTTTGTTAAGATCACATATATCTAATTAACTTTTTTCAGTTTTATTTTATAAATATTGTATTTATGTACAATTTGTTATAAGTGAGCATAGTTGACTAATAATACAACTTTTTATTTTTTTAAAACACATCTCTTATTATTATTTTTCTCTCCTAATATTATGTTCAAGACCTTTTTTTACTAACAATAATATCAAAACTTCAATACCTAAAATAATAATAATGACGATCATAATAAATAAGATGAATATTCTTTTTAGGTTTTTAGAAGTTTTGAATATTTTTACGACGGGAAATGATAAACTATTGAAAAATTCTACTTTCATACAACGTGATATATTTCGTTATGAAAATAAATGTGTAAAACCTTATTTTACATTCATTAGTGTATTTGATGAAAATAATTTTAAAAAGATTTCATTGTCGAATATGACAAAAGAAGTTTGGGATATGACATAGAGTTATGCAGGAGTAGAAATGTCCAAGATGATGCGACTTCAAACCTTATATCGTAAGTATGACTTGTTGTAGATGAAAAATTAAGAAACCATTCATGAATACTTTATAAGATTGCACTCTCTCACAAACTTGATGAAATCATGTGGTAAAAGTTTAAAAGAACAAGTGATGGTTGATAAGGTGTTAAAGACTCTTGATGCAAGATTCAATATAATTTTTGTTGCAATCGAAGAATTCAAGAATTTGAATTTACTGAATTTAAAAGAATTATAGGGATTATTGAAGACTTATGAATAATGTTTATGGGGAAGAACATATGATAAGTCCAATTTAGAACAAGCCTTATTGACTAAGCAAAATTATAAATATGATAATCGAGAAAACTTCAACAAGAAAGGTCGTGGAAGAGGTTTCAGAGACAAAAATAATGGGGGTCAAGGTTCAGAAGGCTAACATGAGAGGTTCTCACAATCAAGATGTGACAAAGACAAAAATTCACAATAGAGAAATGATTGATCTAATTATAGTAGTAATAAACGCGATATACAATATTATAATTGTAACAAATATGATCATTATGCAGCTGATTATTGGAGTCAAGGTTCATGTAATAATGACGAAGAAGCAAATGTAATGCAAAAGAAAGATTTTAAGGATGAAATTTTGTTGATGATGACCACATCAAAACCAGAAAAAACATATGAAAATCTTTATATTTGGATACATGTTGTTCCAATCATATGTCATTTCAAAAGAAATAATTTTTCTAATTTAATGAAGAGATTAAAACGAAAATGAAGTTTGTAGATAACTCTGTAATACATTGTCAAGGAAAAAGAAAGATTTTGATTATAAGAAGAGATGATAAATCTGCAATAATTTCATGTGTTCTGTGTGTCCAACCATGAAATACAACCTATTTAGTATCAATTCACTTTTGCAAAAAGGACATTTAATCGATTGGAGATCGAAGGAATAAATGTTGAGAATTATTGATAAAAATGAGATATTGATTCTAAAGGCTCCTCTGAGCAAAAAACAGGACCTTTAGAGTTGATATTTCAATCTCGAATCATATGTATTTTGCAGTTGTGGTTTCTAATATCAACTAGTTATGACATATGAGATATGGTCATCTAAATTTCACTAATCTAAATCAACTTGTAAAGAAAGAGATATGTAACAAGTAAAATCAATGTAACAATAAAATATCAGATGAAACAGTGAAAACCTAATGAAGCAGTAAAATGGAATTGTCGCAATTGCCAATAGAATGTGAAATGGTTGAGTTTGATTTACAAGGAATTAAAAATGGAAATCATAACGAAGCTAAAACGTAATTGAATTCCACATGTCCAATGCGGATACCTGAAGACAGGAATGATGAAATGAGTAACAAAGTTTGTTTTAGAAACTAATAAGGAATGAATAAAGAATGAACAAAAACAGTTAGCAGAAATGATTGCATACCAGTCATGTGCCTCTCTCACTGACTGAATTCCTTTAAATACACATTTTCCTTCCATTCACGTGTGCTTCTCCTTACACTACAACAAAAACATCAAATAGTGACCGAATTTTCGGTCACTAAATGATCAAAATCGGTCACTAACTAAAATAGTGACCGAAATAGTAACCAACCCAAATCGGTCACTATTTCCTTGGTCACTGATTTCAATGACCAAATCAGTGACCGAATCAGTGACTGATTCAGTGACCGAATTAGTGACCGATTGAGTCGAGTCACTATATCGGTCACTAACAAAAACATTAAAAAATTAACAAAAACATTAAAAAATTAAAAATATTTTTTTAACTCTCTAATCTCCCTTTTATAATATATTTTTATTATTTATAATATTTTTTAGAAATTTGAATTATTATTAGATTGAAAGAATTGTTATCGGCAGGATTCGAACCTAATACCTTAGAGTTAGAGGCGATACTCCAACCACTTAGCTACTAGGAATTTTTGATAAAAGTTTATAAATAAATTATATTTATATACAAATAAAAATATATATATTCGTGTAAATATATAAATATAAAATATATAAATACAAATATATATATATATATATGTTGGATGTGAGGGCGCGCTCGAGGGTGAAAGTGTGTCGAGTAGATTTTTAAAATTTGATGTCAAATTTGTGAGCTGGTCTCTTTATATGAGTTTATAATTTAATGACACAATATAATCTTTATAATTTATTTATATAATAATATAAAATAATTTTTTTATTTATTTATTTTTATTTTATTTTAATTTATTCTTCTTATATTTTTTTTCTTCTATTATTTAATTAAAATAATTTTTTCAATATTAAAAATAATTAAATATTTATTTTTAAAATTATTTAATTTAACAAATTATTATAAATTAATCTAATTATGATTATTAATAGAACAATTTTTTCCTAACATATATTATTATAAATTAATCAAAATCATCTTTTAATAATTATTTTTTTCCAGACATAGATTAATTCATAATAATTTGTTAAATTAAATAATTTTAAAAAATAATTTTAAAAATAAATATTTAATTATTTTTATTAATGTAAAATTATTTTAATATAAGAATTTTAATTAAATAATAGAAGAAAAAAAAGATAAAAAGAATAAATTAAAATAAAATAAAAATAAATAAAGAAAACAATTATTTTATATCATTACATAAATAAATTCTAAAGATTATATTCTATTATTAAATTACAAATCCATATAAAGAGACTCGCTCACAAATATGATATCAAATTTTGAAAACTCACTCGACACACACTTTCACCCTCTAAGCGTGATCCTCACATCGAACATATAAATATATAAATATATCAAAATATATAAATATATTTGTATTTATATATTTTATATTTATATATTTACACGGATATATATTTATTTGTATATAAATATAATTTATTTGTAAATTTTTATTAAAAAATTCTAACAGTTTAGTGGTTGGAGTATTAATATATAACTCTAAGGTACTAGTTTTGAATCTTATTAGTAATAATTTTCTTAATCTGATTAAAAAAAATTGTTAATAAGAGAAATTATATATTTTTGTGGAAATTAGAGCAATTAAATTGTTGTTATGGACTAAAACCCAAAAAGTAAAAAATAAAAAATAAAATTAAATAAAAGAAAAACTATATACTTTTGCATTTTTATTTTCAAATATTAGTTTTTTTATGAAATTATTTTTAATTAAAATAATTAAAGTGATATATATATATATATATATATATATATATTTTTATTCTAATTTATTAATATTATCAAATTTTAGCTTCATGATTAAAAAAATACCAATAATTTAAATTTTATTAATTCTATAATTTTATATAATTATTATTATAAATTTAATTCTCCAATAACTAATAATATTAACACATTTATTAAATTAAAATTATTTATTTTAATTAATTATTTTGATTTTTATAACAATCTTTTTTAAATAAAAATGATAAAACTTAAAATTAATTTCTAACTAAATCTTCACATATTTATGGTTAATACTATATTATATTATTATGTTTAATTAAATTTTAAAATAAGTTCACTTAATCTTTACACTTTTATAAAAATACTAATATAAACTTAAAATATTTATCCAATTAATAAATTATTTAAAATATTAATATAAATTTGAAATATCAATTCAATAATTAAAATAATTTTAATTTTTTTATAAATACATTGAAATACATTTTTATTAACATAAAAGTAATATATATATATATATATATATATATATATAAATAAATAAAAGAGACTAAACTAATAATTAATTTAATTATTGATTATATATATAAAAGAGATTAAATTAATAATTATTTTAATGATTGAATCGGTAACTAATTTAATAATTAATTTTAATTTTTTTATTTACATACTATATTACTAAATTATTTAATAAGTTAATAAACTATTTTTTATAATGTTATTAAAATTTTTATCAATTATTTTAAATTATTAAGTAGATTTATATTTAATATATTATTAAAATATTTTTAAAAATTATTTATATAAATAAAAAATAGTCACTAATTTATATATTATTTGTTTAGTGATCTGAAATTTTAGTCACTAAATCAGTCACTATAT